CTTGCAAGAGTTCACTGCACATCTGTGGACGCCTCACGAAAGGTGATGGTACTCCTGCTGTAGCAACAAATTTCGTTAACAATGCTATTTGTCATTTATTTGAGGAAATCCGCTACGAACTCAATGCAGTGGAAATTGACCGTTGTAAAAATGTTGGTGTGACCACCTTGATGAAAAACTATATTTCCCAGAATCCCAGTCAAACATTTTTATTGGAAAAGGCTGGTTGGATTTTGCGCAAAAAAGGAAAAATTACTGATAATGCAGGATATTTCGATATTTCCATCCCTCTGAATATGATACTAGGATTTGCTGAAGATTATCANTTGCAAGTGAAAATCGATGATCAAGACGGAAGTTTGGTAAATTTCCGAGGAGAAGTAATCACTATAAGATTACACATAAAGGCTAATTAGAGAATGGGAATTGTCTTTCAAAGCAAGGTTGGTGGGAGCTATAAAAGCCAAACGTTATGCCCGAAGTTTCACAGTCGACCAGTTGCCAGCCAGAGGCTCACTTCGAAGAACGTCGTATACCTGAAGAGTCTAGGTCTGAAACCTCGCGACAAAGTAAGAAAGTGAAGTTTTGTTGTGTCATCATCGCTTGCTGCTGCTGTTTACCATGGAAGAAATTCTGAAAATTCAAAAACCCATCATTTTTGATGAATCGATTGCCCATTATGAGATTCACGCGCATCAGCCATTTGCATCATCAAGTTTAAACAACAATGATGAGATTCGTATTGCTGTGCAACATCAAGATTTGTATGTACTACCTTGCAAGAGTTCACTGCACATCTGTGGACGCCTCACGAAAGGTGATGGTACTCCTGCTGTAGCAACAAATTTCGTTAACAATGCTATTTGTCATTTATTTGAGGAAATCCGCTACGAACTCAATGCAGTGGAAATTGACCGTTGTAAAAATGTTGGTGTGACCACCTTGATGAAAAACTATATTTCCCAGAATCCCAGTCAAACATTTTTATTGGAAAATGCTGGTTGGATTTTGCGCGAAAATGGAAAAATTACTGATAATGCAGGATATTTCGATATTTCCATCCCTCTGAATATGATATTAGGATTTGCTGAAGATTATCAGCGAATTATCATCAATCCCAAACATGAGCTAATTATCACTCGATCACATAACGATAACAATGCTATTTTACAGGCGGTACCACCAGCAGGGGGAGCAGCAGCAGAAGACTTCAAAATTTCATTAACCAAGCTTGAATGGATGATACCCTATATCAAAGTTGCAGATTCTCGCAAAGTTCAATTGCTCAATTATATAGCTAAAGATATACCTACACCAATCAGCTTCAGAGCTTGGGAATTGTACGAGTATCCTCTTCTACCTAGAACCTCTAAGCATGTCTGGGTAGTGAAATGTTCAACACAACTGGAAAAACCTAGATTCGTTGTAGTTGGATTTCAGAGCTCGAGACGAAATGATAAGATTAAAAATGCCAGCGAATTCGATCATTGCAACATTCGTGATGTGAAACTCTTCCTCAATTCTCAGAATTATCCATATGGAAACCTTAATCGCGACATTACACACAATCAGTACTCTCAACTCTACAATATGTACACAGACTTTCAAGCTTCGTACTATGGTAAAGAACCTGAACCATTACTGAATATAGGAGCATTTCTTCAGACTGCGCCGCTCATCATCATCGACTGTTCCAAGCAGAACGAGTTCCTCAAATCTGGACCTGTGGATATTCGACTGGAATTTGAATCAGCTGAGATTTTTCCCAACTCTACAACAGCCTACTGCATGATCTTACATGATCGCATCATTCAATACAACCCCCTCAGTGGTGGAGTAAAGAAAATGATTTAATAATAAATAAACATATAAAACAATGTATTTTTTTTCATGAGTTTAATCAATAAATGAATACGATTCAAAAAATAATTGAAGTATTTTTTTTTTAATTCTAGTCTACAGCATATCGTTTAGTTACTATAAATGATAAAAGAATGGAATGACTCATTGATTCCACATCGCAGTAGTAGCTAAATGCCTATAAACCGAAATAGAGTAGAGTTCAGTAAGCTGGTAGTCCTGGCGTAAGCAAAAACACACTTTCTCATTAAATCAGCGACTAAGGTTCGAGTCCCCGTTGATTTCTCTGATAATTTTTCAGTGAAAGCTATAGATTAATATAGTTCAGCTTACACCAGGACTACCAGCTTATTGTTTTTTTAATCCCTGAGGAATTTTTTTCAAAATACTTTTTCTGAACAAAATTTTCTATTAATTAAATGAGAAAAAAAATTAATAAATAATAAATGAGAAAAAAATGGACGATTTAAGAGAATGAATAATCATCTTTATTTCTTCTAATTATCATTTTTACAAAAATCATAATTTTTAAAATTTTCCATCATAATTTTTACATCAAATTTAAGTTCATGTAAATATCCCAACATAAGCGAAATTGAATGTTTCTTCTCATCTTCTCCAAGTTTTATCTTCTTAGCCTCATAGTATTCTCCTTGCTTTCTTTCGAAGTCATCTCCCAGTCTTCTGATAACATCTTCAATACAGCGTTGAATCATGCTCGATTTCATATCGAGTAGAGCGTGGAATGAAACTGTAGAATTCTGCTCAATCTCTTCACGTTTCATCCTCAAAACTCGCAATTGATCTTCAAACTCCACAACATCATGAAGAAATTGCCACGCATAGTTAGGCGCGTCATTTCCAAAATGCCTTTCTACGATGTCACTATGATTCCAACAATATGGCGAAACATCACTGAGACACAACATCTCCTCTGGTGTAAGGTCCAACATGTTTTCCACTACTATAAGTTCCAACGAAAACTTCGAAGACTTTTATCCTACTGCCTCCCACTCTAAATCATATACATTCCCCCACACACATCCCACCAACTCAACCCTCTACCCCCCAAGCCCCTACCCTCCATCCAACATCCCACCACCCCACCTCCAACATCCACACCCACCCACCCACCTCTCACCTGCACCCTCTCACCTGCCCACTAAATCCCGGACGGTTTATCTAGAACCGGCCTTATATAGCTANGAAAGCTATAGATTAATATAGTTCAGCTTACACCAGGACTACCAGCTTATTGTTTTTTTAATCCGTGAGGAATTTTTTTCAAAATACTTCTTCTGAACAAATAATAAATAATCAATAATAAATAATAAATGAGAAAAAAATGGACGATTTAAAAGAATGAATAATCATCTTTATTTCTTCTAATTATCATTTTTACAAAAATCATAATTTTTAAAATTTTCCATCATAATTTTTACATCAAATGTAAGTTCATGTAAATATCCCAACATGAGCGAAATTGAATGTTTCTTCTCATCTTCTCCAAGTTTTATCTTCTTAGCCTCATAGTATTCTCCTTGCTTTCTTTCGAAGTCATCTCCCAGTCTTCTGATAACATCTTCAATACAGCGTTGAATCATGCTCGATTTCATATCGAGTAGAGCGTGGAATGAAACTGTAGAATTCTGCTCAATCTCTTCACGTTTCATCCTCAAAACTCGCAATTGATCTTCAAACTCCACAACATCATGAAGAAATTGCCACGCATAGTTAGGCGCGTCATTTCCAAAATGCCTTTCTACGATGTCACTATGATTCCAACAATATGGCGGAACATCACTGAGACACAACATCTCCTCTGGTGTAAGGTCCAACATGTTTCCCACTACTATAAGTTCCAACGAAAATTTCGAAGACTTTTATCCTACTGCCTCCCACTCTAAATCATATACATTCCCCCACACACATCCCACCAACTCAACCCTCTACCCCCCAAGCCGCTACCCTCCATCCAACATCCCACCACCCCACCTCCAACATCCACACCCACCCACCCACCTCTCACCTGCACCCTCTCACCTGCCCACTAAATCCCGGACGGTTTATCTAGAACCGGCCTTATATAGCTAATAGATTCGCACCTATAAAACTCTCTGAATGGGATGAACAGTATAAAGATGTTATATTCAAAATCTCAATATACTACAGAAAGCTACCTTGGCTGCGCAAAAATGATGCCTTTCAAAACGGAAAAGGGGGAAACAGGCTGTGGATCGTCTGGGCGAGAAGATTGTCACCTGTCTGGTATCGTGAAATGCAGATTCGACGCACCTTTGACACTGTTTTCAAGTTTAATGGCCGAAAACGTTTGTCGTCTCTGCGAAATACTCAAGATCGAGAGAAAGACAGATTTTCATTAAGATGAAGAATTGACAGATTTGCCTTGAGTGGGAAAGACCTGGGTGGTAGGTCAGAATACACTCAAGATACTATATTGATGTGAGTGGATTGTGATTTACCAGGACGTAGTTTGAAAATTTTTTGAACCTTTGGAATGTTGAATTTTTTCACACTGTTTCTTGATTTGGTGTAGTTTACTGTTTAATACGCTGTTCCTGATTTGAACTCTGCCATTAAAAATGTGCAGGGTAATCGAACTAGATGTCGAATAGCAGTTAATTTTCTTTCATTTATAAAAATCCACAATTTTTCAAGAGTAGACTTGTTAAGGACAAAGAGAAACATTAACATCAGTCATGACACATGCACCTGGTACCAGGTGAAAGTAAAAGATCCTTCAAGGATTTGATATCGTAATTTGTTTCTGAGATGGGATAAATGAAAGCAAGGAAGCAGAGTTGAACTATCTAACAGGGGGAGACCATTATACCATCCGTCTGACGATTGGAATTCTGCGAATTGTGACAAATTCACAATATATTCCCAAGCACTTGGGTTTTTGTTCTTATAATTTACAGCTCTCCAAAATTCTCATCGAGTAAACACTTTCCCCGAATATCCAAAATTTAGAGAGGAAAATAAATTCAACGGTCATGGTTTTAAGTCGTAAAATCTCAGTTCTATCTCATTTCGAAAGTTTCTCTTTTCCATGTGGCCAACACGTGTGGGCTCTCCTTTGTTCATTCTATCGTTGGGCTGAGGGCCCTAAAACCCTCCGAGGAAAACTCGCGACGTCACATGCTCCCCTTCTTCCCCTCTTTCACTTTCCCGTTTTCCCTTGGGTTTCACTTTTCCCTTTCCCTTAGGCCAGGATTGCATGCGCAGCTTTTGGTCTAGTGGGGGTTGTTGGACCCAACCCTTAGAGTTAAGGGGTAACGGAACCGACCACAAAAAGACGTTTACCAAAAACAAGTTTTCTTGGATTCTATGCAATGAGAATCAATGAAACTTTTTCCCCGTATTGAGAGTAGCGGAACGCATCGCTCTCTTTTCATGCTTTTCTTATTTATGCAAAAAAAAATTGCAAATTATTTAACGGCAAGAACCAGGGCAAGGTCGATGCTATTTTATTTGTAGGAATCTGCCAAGTCATGGTAGAAAAACCATGAAAATTTTTTTGTAGATTTTTCTTAGCCGATGGCTATTTTCATAAGAAGAGAGCGATCGAGTGAGGTCCAAGTCAGAGATTTTGAGTACAAAAACGTACTTTTGTTGCGTAATTTTCGTAAAAACTTGTTTATGATGATTGGGTGGTATCCAGGAGGTAACATGTCCTTTACAGGGCACCAATTGTAAGAGGGAAGTACTTTTACGAGTCAGAAGATCATGTAGAATGTTTCCATACCATTATTATTTATTTATATCCATTTATTTCCATTTTATGGGCTTTTGTACTTTTCACGTACAAAATCCAAAAAAAAACACGGGAGCCTGTAATACCGATAGGGGGGACCCCTAACCTCTGCGTGCGACGGGTTCCGTTACCCCTTAAGTTTAAGTTTAAGTCAGCCTCACCGGGGGTGTTCTACAATCAAGCCTTCAGCTTCTCTCTTCAATTAGTTTTTCGGCTAGTTTTTTTTTCTTAGTTTTCAAGAGTTTTATTAGTTTATTGTATCGCAAGTTTAAAGTTTTCAAGTTCAGTTTTATACAAATAAAAGTGTTAATGTGCTCTCTAAAGCACTTGTGTTCTGGATTTATTTATATTTATCCCAAAATCCAATTATCCTCCACTTGAACGAGACAACATCGATGGAGTTCTTATCAGAGGTTTAGGGGCTAACGGATCCAGGTGCAAAGTTTGGCGCTAAATAATCTAAAAAGCGCTACTGTCCTCCTAGTAACATCGACAGGACATAACAGCGGCGGCGCTAGTCCTTATAGAATCCTTATAGAAAAAAAGCATGCATGTCATGGCGGAGAGCATGTAAAAAGCAGGGTTGCCAGATACTTGGGAAGCTGAACAGCCAATGCGTGGCGCTGGTACAGCCCAAAAATAGCCCCCTCCAAAATTTTCCCCGCCAATTCCCGCCCACTTCAAACAGGAAAATTTGAAAAAATTACGAATGTTAAAAACTCCAGTTTAGCAAATATAAACAAACAATTATAACATATTAAACTCTTTATTCTTTACTTGTCCATACAAACTATATTAATATTGATAGCAATATTTTTTTGGCAACACACTTTTGGTCCCGAGTCATTAAAAATAGTACGAATAGAATAACAATATTAAGATATTCGTCAATTGAATCAAAATTGAACAATATTAGATTCTCTAGTCTTGTGTACTCCTTGTGGACTCCTCAAAAATCTCATAAGCTTCCAGGAAGGTGGAATCGATCTCAACGGTTTTCATTCCAGATATAGATGCCTCGTACATGTTTTTATTAAATCTATTAAACATGTCCCGAGTTGGTTTATAAGTCTTACAGCACTGGTTCATTGTTTTCATATGAACTCGTGTACGGATCAAAGCGACCAACATGGGTATGAGTAGTCGGTTACGTACTTTTGTCTTAACAGCTGTCATAATGCTGAAAACTCTTTCCACTCCAGCATTACTGATAGGC